AATCCACATTGATTTGCATCATTTGGTGGGCAGCACAAGTGCATTCTCGTTTTGAGGCACGAAGTTCGCATTAAACAACGAAACTAATTTACTTGCATCGTGTGCCACAGTTTGCACTTTATCGAGTGTTTCCCGGTCAGCGCTTTTGCTTAATTCTCATGTGAGTCTGTGCAATTTAAATGCGCATTTTCACACTTGTGCTGAGGAATGATGACTTTTACATCGGTGTCATGCGAATGTTAGTAGATCTGCATTAGTTTGAAAGGATTGCAAGCGGATGAAAAACTGGGACACCTAAAAATCAGTCAAACCGTTTTGTAATGAGTTCTTTGATTTCATTTGGCAAATGTTGGTTTAGCAACATCTGGCAGAATGACTACCACGAGGCAATGAATATTGGCTACTTCTGTAAAAAGAAGAATTTGTCATCGGTATCGCAGGAATCTAAGCGGACTCGCATTTGCCTTCTGAGGATCGAACCCCGGTAAGAAAGTAAAAGCATTCAAAGCGAATTGTTATGAAATGTAGTGAATCGTGTTGAATCACTTTCAATAAGCCGGTCGTCGAATCTTCACACACGTGGCGGGCCCGTCAGTCTCTGGGATCAGTTGATCATTCGCTCCCCTGTGTGCACCATCACCACCCGATTTATTCATCTGACCTACCAGACGCCCGTATTTTTGCCAGTCAAGTCAACTATATCAGTCAGCAAATACAACTTTAAGGACTTATCTAGTAAACAGTTGTGCCTTCTCCTCTCCATTCTTCTTCTTCAGAGGCACTCAGGGCAGCGGACTCGGGTTAGTTTCTATGCAGGGGCCCCGGCGTGGTTCGAGATAACATGCCGGGGCCATTGACAGATGGTTTTGATTATGCATGTCATGTGGTGGTTTCATGACTAATTCTGGACAATGTGTATTAAAGGGTCAAAGTCGATCTGTAGACCACGGTGGCACTTCAAGTAAATTGATCGGATCGGCATGCGTTTGCTGGTGTGCCTGACAAATTGTCTATTTCAGCACTCGAAGTCATCGAAACTGTTGAGTAACACGACAGTCAATAGCATTCACGTTTTTAAACGCGGAGGTCGCTGTAAAAAATATGCTGACTTAATTACCTAATTCAGGGGCGTCTGATTATGATAACGTATGACAGACATCCCACTCGAGATTAGCTGATAAAAGCTTTAAATGTCTGAATTTCCGTTAAGCATTTTGGTTGTTAGTGGTTTACCATTAACTACTGGATGTCCGATCTATGACACTCAACTAAGCGGGAACATAAACAATATACATACTTTCTGTCCGACTGCGGGCTATGGACAAACTTTCAACTAATGGACAGTACATGGATTCTTAGCTAAATGGAAACACAAATGAAAAATACACAATTTCATCAGAAATAAAATCTTAACTGTTTGTCTCTATTCATTATCGGGATTCCACCATCGCGACATTACATCTTTTAGTCTAGACTACTATATAATGCACGGTGCTCTGATTTTTACCGAGTATTATTGTGTTTATTCACCGACTTTTCAACATGTTAGACATGATCTATGAGCAAGTCTTCTGATGAAATCAGGAAATGTAAAAGACCACGACAAAAGTATATTTGGTGTGTACACTATATGCTGCTTCACAGAAGGTACAATAATTCGGCCAAAAGTAGTTAACGGATCTGTTCTGCAAGTTTACCTACAGCAGATGCAAACGATTTCTGAAAGGAAAGTGTTAGGACAACGTATGAATCGGTTAAAGACATCCTCCATATGCAGTGCATAGATCTAATTCAATGAAACGAGTTAAGCATTTAGTCATTGCAGATTAATGTTTAACCAGCCACAGTCAGTAGTCGCTTGACACAGCAAAGACATAAACCGATGTCTCCGAAATATATGCGCAACTTTACTCCAAGTGAAAGAACAAATCCGCAGCTCTTCGGTGCTTTTCCTGCAGAAGGATTAATTAAATTTATTTTTTTAAAATTTTTAGGATTTTCTCCACATTTTTGCTCTATCCTTTAAAAGAAGCGAAAGCAATTTGTCAAAGTGAAGTGAATTTACCAAGTGCAGGTGGTATTTTTTTATGTTTTTTGTGCATGCATTTGTCAGAAGTCTTGTGCAGCACATACCTTTTTGACATTGCTTTGATCCGCTTTTGACAGGGCCCCACGTGATCCACCTAACCAACGCCATATCCTGCCTCGGTCGTTTTCACTTGCCAACTGCTTCCAGAATATGCAAAGCACAAAGTTCATTTCCTGGGAAACCGAAAATGCACACTGCAACTACGGATAAAATTACCATCTCAGTACTCTTGCAAAAAGAAACTGGTCACGAGCAAGTGTCCGACGTCATGATTAGGATTTGCATTTTGGAGGTAGCTGTTGCCGTCTTTGTGACTGTCTAACTGAGCATTGATTTTAGCTTTCACGGGCAGACATTCTAAATACTTGCACGGCTACCCTGAGTT